TTTACTGCCCAGAGAACCTCGGGTGTGCAGTTGGAACAATGGCTGCAAGTTTGGTCCAGCTGAGCGTCCATCCCATAATTAATGAATCCAAAACACTGAAGCCCGCGGCTGACCTCACTTCTGATCCTGGAGCTCTCCAGTGTTTAGAACTCTGGCCTCCCACTTCCCCTCCTGTGCTTACCAGGCGAAAAGCACAGATTCTGCAAATGCAGGTGTGGGCCATCTGGGGAGTTGGCAGCACGAGTGGGCCAGGTGGGGGGGGGGGGGCGCTGAGGCAAATGGGGAGATGTGAGCCCAAATGGGTGAATGTCTTTGCATGGCTGAGGATCCTGTGTCACCAGCCACTTTTAGGACTTTTCCCCTCCACTCCACTACAAAACGTTTTTTATTTTCTCTGCTTTAAACTCTCCCTGTCCATCTCTATGCTCATGCCGTGAGGCTGGGATGGAATGTGTCTGGTCGTGGTACCTGCACACACATGCTGTGGTGCTCACACAGGCTTGCGGGGCTGATAATCCGAGCCACAGTTTCTGCACATCATTTGAAGGAACCCCAGTTGGCTCTGGGGCACCATGAGGTGTTGGAGATTTGAGCGTGGTTGACTGCATGCAAGGCAAGTTCTTCACCTCTGCTACTATCTTTCCTGGCGTATCTTTTTTTTTTTTTTAATACTGTACTTTAATGATTGTGCTTGCACACAGCCAGCTGTGGCATGCTGGCAAGTCACCTGCAGTGCAGGGGTCTGAGAGCAGCATTGCTGGGCCCACGCTCATAGCATGCAGCAGCACCAGGGGTCCAACTCTCAGCCTCGTGGCTGCACGGCAGGTGTTTGGTCCACTGACTCTTCTCCTTCCTGCCTCTTGGATCTTAGGACTTTTTTTTTTGGTCACACCTGGCAATGTTCAGGATTTTCTCCTGGCTCTGCACTCAGGAATCACTCCTGGCGGTGCTCAGGGGACTATATGGGATGCTGGGAGTTGAACCCAGTTTGGCCGCGTGCAAGGCCAACGTCCTACCTGCTGTACTATCGCTCTAGTCCCTGATCTTAGGACTTTTAAGGACAACAACCATCTGGATTTAAGTCCAATGCCCTTATTTTCAAGTGTTGGCAACTCACACCTTCCATATAAAGAACAGAGTTCCAAGGAAGTGTGTGTGGTGTGGGGGGAGGGCGTGGGGAAGGCACTTTGCTGTCTCTGTCCACAGGGCAGATTGTCCCGTGAGAGAGCTCACTCTGGCACCTTCACTCCCTATCCAGCTCACACGCAGAGAGGTTTTTTCTTTTATTCTTTTTGTCTTTCGTGGTATTTAGGGATTACTCCTCGAGGGCTTGGGGACCAGAAGAGGTGTGAACACGTGTGGTCCCTATGTGCAAGGCAAGCACCCTGCTGGCTGGGCTATCTCCCAAGCAGAGCACGTGAAGCTGCTTTAGTAACAACTGCCTCCTCACCCCACCCAACTTCCCCTCGTTGCTGCTGTGACAATCGAGGGAGCCGTAGCCGTCCCATTCAGCTGTGGTGCTTGCAGGGGTCTCCCATCAGGTGGTGATGCTCGCCAGTACCCTTGGCTGCTGTGCTCACCAAGGCTGGCTCTTTCAGTTGCATGCGTTCCCACCGGGGAGTCGAGGCATGAGCATCTCAGCTGCAGCACTGTTTTCTGGCCAGTTATCACAGCTTTTCAGCTGTGGTGCTCACTGGGGGTTGCATCCTTTTGTGGTGCTTACACATAGCTGGTTGTGGTGCAACGGGAAACTGCTCGCAGCACTGGGGATCAGAGAAAGCAGGGCTGCCAAGACCATGTGTGGCGCATGTGGCAGTCCTGGGGATTGTACTTATGACCTTACTTGCTAGACCGTGTAACATTCCTTTTACTTTACCTGAAGGCAATAGGCCCGCAGTTGCCCTCATACGTGTGAAAATTATGTCCCCGGCCCTCTGCAGCAAAGATGTCAGCAGGGGACCTCAGGGGGTGCTTCCCAGGAACAGCCCCACCCGCCCTGCCACTGGCTGGCTGTGGCCCCGGTGTTCTCCTCAGACTGTGTTACTCGTTTCTACCCTGCTCAGTATCCCATGTGGTTTGGAAAGGAAAGGGTTAAATGGCAATTCTGGAAATTCTTCTTTCTCGTTCTCATGCAAAAGTAGTGGAAATCAAGGATTTCAACTTCTTCGACCTTGTGCACATTGGCTAAGAGGCAAAAGGAAATGACCTTTCTGTGGTGCCAAACGGTGGAGGAAGGTCCAAGTCCCTGGAGGCTCTCTGCTGCTCACTGGAGCCCAGGGGAAGAGCTTGCGCAAGGGGCAGAGCCAGTGTTGCGTGCTCTCATGTGCAGGGAAGATTTTCAAAGTCCCAGGGCTCCCGGGAATCCACATCTAACTGAGGTGGTCCTAAGGGAGTTGGTGGAGCCCTCTGCAGGGAGAGGCCAAGGCAGGGCCATCCTTGAATGCTGGCGCACAAAGGAAGAAGGTTGGTCTTATTTCGACTTTCAAATTCGGGGTAAGGAGTCATGAGCTCAGCATAAGTAATAAAAGAGGACAAAACTCAAAGGGAACGGTCAAGCCATCAAACTGTCTCCATGAGGCCTCGGTGTCATGACGCCTACCACCTTCCTCTATTTGATTCCCTAAATCTCCTTTCAAGCTCTTTCCTTTCCTCTGCTTTGCTCTCATTTTGGAGCTGGTTGACCTTGCTGGGGAAGTGTGTGTGTGTGTGTGTGTGTGTGTGTGTGTGTGTGTGTGTGTGTGAAGGTGTGTGGCTCCCAGGTGGGATTTCTCACATGCAGATCTGAGCCAACCCCCACGGGAAGCATTTGGTGGCTCCTGCTTTTAGGATAAAGCTCTAAGTTCCCAACCCTTCAGAGTCTAACCTCTGTGCAGTCTTACCTCTCTCCAATCACAATTCCCTTGGGCTCCATTGGTTTCTAGCCTGCTGCCGAGGAATTCACAGTTCTTAGGAGCCTTCCTGCCCCCTCTCCGGCACTGTGGCCACAGTGTGCTGGGGAGGTAGAGGAAGGCTGCACCCTTCCTCTGGTATAGCCTGGCCCAGATGAGTCCTGGGCCCCACTAACTCCTCTTCTGGCCTGTGTATGCTGGACACGCGGCAGAACAGCCTCCCATTCTCTGCTGCAGCCACTTCTACACCTGGCTGAAAGGATGTGAGTCAACATGCTCTGAATTGTGTCCCATGAGAGGGGCAGGCATGCCTTTCTCTTCCTACTGGGATGAGGAGGGCAGGGTTGGGGTTCCAGCTCTATCTGGTCAACAACCTCCCCTTGGAAATGTAAACCGTACCTAGAGCAATGAAGGGCAGAGGGCCAGGCCTGTCTGGGTCTGACACCTCTAACACCTCCACAGGGGAGAGAAACCAACCTCCCAAGTCACTGCAGTCTCACTGCTAACAGTGACCGAGTCAGTCCCCAACTGAGGCCCCCGCCAACATTAGCTCCAGTTCTTTCTCCTTTTCCTTCTTCAGTGCTGGGGGTGAAACCCAGGTCTCGTGCGTGCCCTTCCTACTTCTCTGAATGAATGTGGGCACTGCTGAGCCACAGAGAGAGGCACCAAGGTCAGTCTGACTTCCAGTGATTCTTAACTCTCTGGCTGGCCATGGAGTCCTTTATTAATTAGTCTTGGAGGGACAGGGTGGGGTGGGGGAACTGGGGGTGAGGTGGGAGGGGCAGGTACTGTCCACAGACTGAGCCCTGATGCCACAGACTGAGCCCTGATGCCACTCAAGTGCTGAGATTTCTTTTCAGTAGGAAGGAGAGACTGAGAGGTCCCGTGAGCCCACCAGGGCCAAGTCTGTGAGTGATGAGGCATCCGGGGCTCGGCACCCTCTCGACTCACGGGGGTCCCCGTCACGCCGGGACCAGCGCCGTCACCTTTCCCCAAGAGCTGTGTCCCCACAAGTGTGAGGAACTTAGGAAAGACCGTTTCCCACTGAAGTATCTGCTTTCGTATACATATATATATATACACATTTTTATATATACATATATATACATACACATGTATATATATATACTTTTTTTTTTTGCTTTTTGGGTCACACCCGGCGATGCACAGGGGTTACTCCTGGCTCTGCACTCAGAAATCACTCCTGGCAGTGCTCAGGGGACCATATGGGATGCTGGGAATCAAACCTGGGTCGGCTGCGTGCAAGTCAAACGCCCTACCCGCTGTGCTATCTCTCCAGCCCCACATATATATTTTTAATCTGAGCATCTTTTAGAGAGCAATGACATGCTTGACACTGCCTGTTCTGGAAAGTACAAAACTGTATTGAAATATGCCCGTGACTATATGCCCTAGAGAGCATAAGCTCCTTTAAAAAGTGTTGTTCGTTGAGAGAAATACTCTAGGCACCTGACACTGCACCCCGGGCAGTGCTCTGATTAGATCTGGGGCTTTCAGCCACTGCCAAGCGTGAACCTGGCTGCTGTACCAGGATCCCACCAATAACCAGTGAACCTCCTTTGTATTACTTTTTTAAAAAATGAACATAATATACATTTAATTTCATTCAATAAATCAATTCCACTTCGCTTACCAGTTCTTAGAAAACTTAGGAGAAAGCAAACAAACAGAAGACATGACAAATGACATTTAAGACATGTGACACAGCGAGGAGCAAGTGGCGATCAGGAGTTGTGACGGCAAGGGACCACGAGAAGAAAAGTAAAATTACTAGAATTTATTGCTGTATTGATGCTTTCCTGGTAGGGCTCTAAGTAGCCACAAAGTGCCACCTTCTGGTTGAAAAGTGTGTGACATCGCCTTTATTTATTTTTTTGAATGCCATTTCACGGTGGTCGTGTAAAGCAACAGCAGCAGTTACAAAACGTTGTCTGAGTAGTTTTGGAAGCTCCCAACAAGGATCTGTGGATAGGCTGAATAAAAAGATGTTCGATTAAGAGGGCACACGGTGTAACTTTAACAAACATCTTCAACTGGATTTTTGTGTAAACCTTAATAGAGATGTGATTCACAGAGACCGAAAGTAAAATTTCTTTTTCCCTTCCCGGTCCATTCGGGCGGTTTGCATTCTTTGCAAATGGATTTACAAAATACAAGAAACGTTGCATGTGAGTACTAGGCATAAAACATCTCTTTTTCTTACAGAAGGAGCAGCACGGGGACAGGGAGCCTCGCGAGTGCCCTGTCCCCCCTTCCCCAAAGATGCACACCCGAGAATGGCAGTGGAAACCTGGCAGCAAGCCACTCTTACAGATTTTTTTTTTTGGTTGTTTTAAAATACAAGCGCTTTCTGACCTTTCCCTCCCCGGCCTGCCAGTCCCACCCTGACTGGGAAGGATAGAAGCCCACGTCCTCGTCCTCTCGTTTAGTTTTCCCCTTCCGATTATTTACAGGACGCCTACAGATACAGTACAAACTAGTATGAAATTAATGGTGGTTTGCATTTCCAGACGCGCTCCATGGGTCGGCACGCACTGCTTCAGAGTGAAGGGGACTCCGAGGCGTTCGCATCTGTCACCGCATCAGACATGGGCTTCTCACTGGCCGGGGCCACCTCGCTGGCTCTGTCCTCCACAGTGGTGGGGGCCTTGGGCGTGGGGAGCGTCACATCCACAGGGAGTGTGGGGGCAGCATCGGCCTTTGCCGAGACAGCGGTGACAGGGTCAGCAGGTAGGCTGCTGGCAGGGGGCAGGGAGGACAGCAGCTCCCCCGGGGTGGCTGCAGAAGAGACCTCTGGAACCAAAGGGAATGACGGGAGGAACTCAGACGGCATGGGGAGAGGTGCAATGCCAGGTAGGTTTCGGGGTGCCAAGGAAGGAAGAGGTGGCAAACCTAGGACGAAAATGACAGAGGTCACACATCCTCCCAGCACCCAAAGGACAGCAGTCCTTCTCCTGTGACTTGTCTTTCTTTGCATTTCATTAAAGCTGAGGCAAGAAGACAAACTGTACGGCCGAATCCCTAGCTGGCTGGACCTGGGCTTCTCGGCTGCTCAGCTTGAAGGCTCAGGGTCATTTCCCAGCAGGGAGAAACAGCCGCACTGGGAGCTGGGGGGCGAGGGGGAGGGGTATATGACACCAGTTCCCCTGAACCTCACCCAGAGGAGCAGACACAGGGGCTGTGCAGAGGAGCTTGGCCTAACATCAGCGTTGGTATGGATAGAGAACTGTCTGCGGCTGGTGAGTGCATGCGGAGGGTTTGAAAACGCAGAAAGAAGGAAAAGAGCACCGCTTCGGGAGAGCAGGTTGGGAAACTGGTTTCGAGCAGAACTGCTCTACTGGGGAGACCCTCAGAGCTCTCAGGGTCCGTGACTTCGGGAGGTGGAAGAAGCCAAGAGCACAGGGCCTAGGAGAAGGCCCAAGGGAGCGCTAGCACAGCAGGATTCCTCTGAGCTTCCTGGTCCTCCCTTTGCCTTGGGAAACCCTGCATGAGAATAAATGGAGATGGTGTGGCTCTCCAGGCAGAAAAGGCACAGTGCGTAGCTGGGACAGAGTCACTCACTGCACCCCCTCAGCTTGGGCCCAGGGCTGTCTCCAAGTCAACGGCAGTCTGGAAGCACATTAGCTAGGGCCAGACAGCGCATCACTCTGACACTTCCTCTCACCAACAGAGAATCTGAGAGTTAACCCCTGCAATAGCTGTGATGCTATTTGTAGCTAAAATGAACTTTGATCACACAAACATTTGTTAATGGAGAATAGTAATTAAATAACAACCCTGGCCCACTAAGCAAGGCTACATTTCTGGGCTGGTCCACAGAAAACACGTCTCACTACTTCCCTGGTGGCAGCAGTCCCCATGGTGAGAAAAACCACATGGAGTCCATTCTCCCTACAGTGACCTGTTGCATGCACTGTGGAGTTCAGAAGCAGTGATGCCGCCCTGCTGGTCTTTAATTTGAGCTGTCGGGGAGCAGGGAGAAGAAACAAGAAGAACAGAGGGGCCAGAGAGAGAACCACAAATACTTGTCAAATTGATTTACCCTTTCGAGAAAAAAACTGAAATAGAGGGCTGGCTGTCCTGGGCAAAGCTTTTCATTCGTCAGAGCCCTTAGGAGCGTAAGATCGGCAACATACCCGGGTTCCGAAGCTCTGGTAAGCTGACACCTGGCATGACGTGTGGTGTGGGGAGGTTGAGGTTGGGGAGAGTGGGGAGGTTAGGCAGTCCTGCTGGGAAAGGGATCAGACCTGAGGAGAAGGCAGACAACACAAGGCACGTCACTGCATCAGAAGCCAGTCCTTGTTCCTGAACAAACGCCCACCCACGGCAGAGCAAGGGGACCGGGGTCCACCTCCTGCGTGGCAGCCAGTCTCATTAATGTACAAGACCAACAGCTCAGCCGACTGGATGGAAGCATCTTTCTGTACATAAGCGATTCAAGGGCACAGTGGGTGAGGTGAAAGTGCTGCCGAACACCAGGAAACAGGAGGGATCAGGCCCAGTGTCTGGAAAAACGGCTGAGTTCTCTCCTCTGGTGGCTGTGGTCTACAGTCTCACCAGCTGTCTCGAGTTCTGAGAGCATTTCAGACAGCTGCTAAAATGTGTGAAGAATTCCCGTGTACCCCATTTCACCCAAATTACCCAGGCCACCATCATACCATACCGCCCCCCCCCCCCCCCTTCTCTGTGCCCGTGAGTAGACCAAACACGAAGGGCTCAGTGTCCGTATAAAGGCAATGCCAGCCACAAAGCCAGCGGCTCTCAGGATGCAAGTATATTTGATCAGGGAAATAGTATTTAATCTGTGTTACTGGATAAAGGGACTGGGTCTCCACTGAGATTAGAAAGAGACATAAAAAAATCTATCTTAATGTCAGAGCTACTGAAAAATCCTACAAATCAGGGGTGTTCTCTCCTAGGACACAACGTCTGTTCACACCAAGAGCTACCAGAGAGCTCTCGCGAGGAGGCGCTGGGGACTGGAGTGGACAGACGCCTGGCCCTGCCGCGTGCTGCTCTGGCACGGGTTTGAGGGTGGGGGAGCTGGCTGGGGGAAAGCAGCCTAAGGCCCAGCAGCTAACGCGTGGATGACTAAAACCCTGTCACCACTTCTTTACCATCTATCACCAAGTTACTGCAGAGATACAATGAGATGAAAAGACAAAAGCAACCAGTACACAGGTATGAGTCTTTTTTTTTTTTTTAAAAAAAAAGATGCAGAGCATTAATAATGCTACTTTTACACACATCTCTAGTCTTTCTACCAATTACCTGGTAATGTAGTAGCTGGGTTCATTGGTGGCACAGACGCAAGGGACTGGTTTACTTGTGACAACAATGGAACTGTTGGTACACCTGAAATAAAAGCACCGACTTTAAACGCCATCCAACTTGCTGGCCCACACTGAGGAGATCAGAAGAGTCTTCAGCCCCCCCCCCCCCCGTCAGGTCTCTGTGGCAGGGCTGGGAGCCACCCCGTTTTCTGGTTGTCTCACTGGCTGTCAGCGCGCATCAATCTGCATGGCCTTTTATACAGGCAGAGCTTTTACACAGGTTAGCAGAGCTCAGACCCAGGCAAGAGGTGCTCTAAATTATCTAACCTGGGGCTGGAGTGATAGCACAGCGGGAAGGGCCTCTGCCTTGCACGTGGCTGACCCAGGTTCGATCCCTGGCATCCCATAGCGTCCCCTGAGCACCACCAGGAGTAATTCCTGAGTGCAGAGCCAGGAGTGACCCCTGAGCATCGCCGGGTGTGACCCAAAAAGCCAAAAAAAAAAAAATTATCTAAGCTGAGTTAGGTTCACTGACTGGTTTTAGCCCTGACTTAAGCAGGGCGAGGAAGAAAACGGTTTCAGAAATTTAGAAATGGGGCACTGTGAAGCTCCTGAAGTTGAAGCCATGGTAGGTATATGCACCTGGGGAAGTTTTTGCTTTCATCCATCAGATTCTCTGAGGGTCGGGCGTGTGGGTGGCAGGGGAAAACAGGGCAACTATGGGTCTGCACAGGCTGGGGTCTCCAGGGCTATGCCCTGTGGTGCTGGGCTAAGGGGAGGGGGGAGGGGTGGCTATACGGTGCCAAGGTTTGAATTCAGGTCAACACAGGTGGCCACGACCACTGAGTAGTTTCTCTGATCCTCAAAAAATACCCTGAAGTTTGTAAAAGTGGAGTACTTTGAAACAATACAATTAAAACTGTAGATGTACAACAAACATAGAGGCTGAGGGAGAATGTATCTCAATGGCAGAGTTCAGACATGTGTTACACCTATGTGCATCTGGGCTCAATTCTTTGCAAACAAGAAGGAATCTAAACAAAAAATGTTGTTTCTCATATCTGTTTTATGATTTACTCAAAGTGAAAATGTTGATTTCTTAATACTTTTGAGCAATAACTGCTTTACTTCTGTTTCTGTCTTTAATATAAAAAAAAAGCATTCATCTGTTATGCAATTAATAAGATCAGGGATCTCAGTCCACATTTTCATAAGACAAAATATGAATTACTATTATGTGACAAGAGGACTAAACAATAAAAAGAGACTTGTAGAGAGATGCTATTTCCTTCAGATCAGAAGAGCTGTGATAGGGCTATGGGATACCCTTATTTGGAAGAGGAATGGCTAAGAGTTATTCAGAAACAAAAGTGGGCCGTTGTCTTGGGAAATAATGCAATTCACTTTTACTAAGTCTATTCTGTACTACGGGGGGCTGGAGCGATAGCACAGCGGGTAGGGCGTTCGCCTTACAAGCGGCCAAAATGGCCAACCCGAGTTCGATTCCTCCGCCCCTCTCGGAGAGCCCGGCAAGCTACCGAGAGTATTCGATATGCCAAACACAGTAACAACAAAGTCTCCAATGGAGACGTTACTGGGCCCACTCGAGCAAATTGACGATCAACGGGAGGGCAATATTCAAACACCAATTCTGTACTAGAGGTCATCTGCTGAGATTAAAAAGAAGAAAAATCATAGTACCATAAAAAGGGCTGAACCCTGGAAAGTTATTCTAAGTAAAACAAGTCAGTCACTGAAGACCACACATATTATATGGAATGTCTGGACTAGGTAAAACAATAGGAAGAGAAAGTCGTAACTGTCTTGCTGTAGGAAGCACTGAAATCGGGTACAGGTCACGTTGGGGGGAAATGAAATGTTCTACATTTGATTTAAGTGACAACAAATACACAACTCTGCAACTATACTAAAAAGATACAATGGACGCATTGCATAGTACACGAATTATACCTAATTGGGGAGTAAAATTCAAATGAAATAGAATTTTTAAAAAAAGCACAAATTTGGGGCTGGAGCAATAGCACAGCGGGTGGGGCGTTTGCCTCGCTCACGACCGACCCAGGTTCAATTCCCAGCATCCCATATGGTCCCCCACGCACTGCCAGGAGTGATTCCTGAGTGCATGAACCAGGAGTAACTAACTCATGTGCATCGCCGGGTGTGACCCAAAAAGGGAAAAAAAGAAAAAAGCACAAATTGAGGATAGACAAGGAACAAAGAAAATGAGAAATAAATACGTGTGTACGGGCAAGAGTCTCTATTAAAAAAAGCACCTTGTTCACTTTTGTATCTCCAGTGCCCATTACTCAGGGGACGCACAAATATATGTTGAGTAGATAGACAAACAGCACGTCAAAGTATAACTTGTATAACCCAAGAAAAGCCTAGAGTTTAAACATGTTAGTAAGAGGCCAACACTGGCCAGGTGTGTATGCACACAGTGATCAGTATCAGCTTCATGACAGAACTCATATAAAGTTTCTAAGGAAAAGTGATTAAATTCTGTAGCCTGAGACAGAAAAGAATATCATGTTTAACAAAGCAAAATTTTGTTCTGTATACCTGTACTGAGAACATTACTGACAGTTGGGGGCGTGGAGCTGATAGAGAGTCCAGACAGACTCTGTTCAATTTCTGTAGTTCCTGGGGTTGACAAAGATGGAGGATTAACTGAGGACAGCTGGACCTTCAAAAAAAAAAAAAAACCAATTACTCAAATTTATTTCAAAGAACTTTTCCTACAGATGTAATTTTGATAATATACTGTCAAACTGGGCTGGAGCGATAGCCAGCGGGTAGGGCGTTTGCCTTGCACACGACTAACTTGGGTTTGATTTTTTCATCCCTCTCGAAGAGCCTGGCAAGCTACTGACAGTATCCCACCTGCACAGCAAGCTACCCGTGACGTATTTGATATGCCAAAAACAGTAACAAGTCTCACAATGGAGGCGTTACTGGTGCCCGCTAGAGCAAATCCATGAACAACGAGAGGGCAGTGCTACGGCGCTACTGTCGAACTGTGACGTGGCACTTCTGACTTCAGATCGCTAATTCCTACACTTGGTAAGGACTCTGCACAGTACATATGGTGCCAGTCGGTCACTCTCAGTCTCTCCGTGTTCCTGCAACAGTCCCATATACCTAGCTTTCTTTTTCTCCAGTCATCTCTTGAAATAGTAAGCACTAGCTACCATCACCTGATCATTGACCATTATTCAGCATATTCTGTAATTCTGTATCTTCTATAATATCTGCACACTGCCACCTCTCTGAAACAGCTTGATTCAAAGACTTGTTTTGTATTTAATCCTTCTCGAAGTACACCCATACCTGACTCTGTCCTTCTTCTAGAAATGGGGTCTTCTCTAGCTGGACCCCCTACTTGGCCCATTCTTCTAATTATCAAAGATTTTAAAAATTTCCGCTTCAGTTCTCAGACCCAATTCTGCGACATTTTTTTCAATGCTCTTTGGGTTAAATTTAATTACCCTTTCTTTGAATCATGAGGATGCCCAAATCTGCATGCCAAGCCTAATATTTCCCTGAAATGAAATTCATACTCATATATTGAACCTCTACCAGCAGAGTCTAGAGAAGTCTCAGATTCACCACAATCAACCCGAAACTCACCGTTTGTCCTACTACACATACCAATGCCTGACTTCTGGTGTGAACTGTACAATACGAGGAAATCAAAGTTCTCCTACCTCTGTAAACCCATCTTTAAGAGGAGTGACAGGTGTACTGGTCATTTGTCCTGGAAGAGAAATTTTCTTTCCTTCTTCAAATGGGCGAGTAGGTATTCGATGCAAATATCCATATCCAATGCCACATCCTAGGCTATGAAAACATTATTTTTCTTAAAGTCATTATCAGTCATAACACACATTTCTTTGAGGTTTAAAATATAAATACAAATTTCCTTGAAATAGTATTATTTAAATAGTATTCTCTCATCAGAGATCTTTCCTGACCAACCTATATGAAGTAACACCCTTCCTGTATCATGGATAATTCCTTTCCTTACCTTTTTCAAGCATGTACCACTATCCAACATACTGCATAATTATTTATCACCAACCAATATACTGAGAGTATCCTGCCCGCATGGCAGAGCCTGGCAAGCTCCCTATGGCATATTCGATATGCCAAAACCAGTAACAAGTCTTACAATGGAGACATTACTGGTACCCACTCAAGCAAACTGATGAACAACGGGAGGACAGTGTTACAGTGCTACCCAATACACGACATATTTATCTTCTGTCCCCACAATAACACAGTAAGGTCATGAAGAGGAGAGGGCTTGTTCTGTTTACTGCATCAACAGTCCTGGCATATGGCAATTAGCAAGTACTGGTTGAATGAATGACATACAGCCTTTTGATTGAAGAGCTCCAAGCGCTTCTATCCGATGGTGTCATTTGTAGATGCCATGGTTCTACCTCAGAAGCTGACACAAATCAGTCATATATGTATAAACTAGACTTCTAGTTTGTCCTCCCAGTAAGATATGATCACAGGGTGTTGCAGTCTGTTGGCCTTCTACCATTTCTTTCTCTTTGCCACTGTGTGCAGCGCTGGTGGGACTGTCAACAAGGGACTCACACCACCCAAACCAAGTAGAGGCTCATGATCAAAATCAGGTCTCTGATATCTCTACATCTCTAATCCTCAATCACAAATCCTAGAAATGACCAAACCAAAATCAACTTCATCCCTTCAGTAGAATATTGATGAAATTGCTAAATTAATCCTTCCTCCTTAAATCCCTCGTTATTCTGAGTCCTCTCCTTTCCCAGTCTGCTTCTTTGGCAGTTTCTTTAATTTTGAGTGACAGTATGATAATACATTTATGCCTGCTTACATGACAGTGACCATTAGTTTCTACCGTTCAGAACCAAAGGGTACCCATCAATAACACAGCAGTTCTGCTGCCCAAAATATACCCACATTTCTGATCACAGAGCCTTTACGGTTAAGCTTCAACTTACGTCTGCATCCCCATTGCTTTTACTTCTAGATACTTATTGGTACTTACATTATCAAATTACTAGATACCAAATATTAATTATTACATTACTAGATCCTTTTAAAGCCTTGTAGTCATTTGTGTTTTTCCTCTGCTGAAGGAGCTGTTACTGGCGTGATATTACCTCCACCTACGGCTGGTGGTAATATCAGCAGCTAGTCAGGCCAACCAGCTCTTTTTTATCTAAATCTGATTCCACAATACTGTTTCACATTACAGAATCACTTTATTCCTTCTTCTCTTACTTTCTGTACCATCAACACTGCAATTCCCACTGAAGTCCATCTTAGAGAGACGGTGAGGAAGAAAGTACGATTAAATAATTTATATTGATCAATAATAGCATTTCAGAGGTAGCTACATTTTTACACAAAATGCTTATTCATCAAAACAACGGTGTTGGTAAGAAAATGCTTGAGGGGATAAGAAATTCTTTGTAAATATGACAGTCCAAAAAAGAAAGAGAAAAAAATGTAGTAATGAATGAAATATGGGAGGTTTCTAAGGAAGGACGGAAAGCCAGAGGCAGACTCATTTGGTAACAATTATCTAAAGTAATGATATGAAATCACATCCAAAAGAAAAATGTCTTGCTGAAGAGATTGACCGCACTGAGTCTGAGAAAAGTGCCAGTAAATTGTTTTAAAATAAAAACAACAAATGTTCAAAACACATCTGACTGGTAAGTTGTAAGCGATCCTAACAATCTAAAAACAATCTTACCTGCCTTCTCCACCCCATGCAGAATTTGGTGTAATGATCACTTCTCGACAGTTATCAGTGTCCGTATTATATACATAAAGTTTCAATGGTTTAGCTTCATGTGTTTCAATGAGGCTAAACAGATCTTCAGACTGTAAAAATATCACAGAACAAAAATATGTTTATGTTGCTTAACTTCAGTAAGTTAGACAACAAACAAAACCAGGTTCTCAAATAAGGTTGTTTCGTTCACTACTGGCCGGGATCTTTCCCTTATCACTGTTCTAACAAAGCTAACTATAGGCTGCTCAAGGACCAGCTGTACAGATTCTGGGTCCTGCCACAAGCCTTGAAAAACAAATTCTCAGAATCAATTCTCCAAGCAAGGTTTAACTCAGTACGAATTAACCCTCTATTACATTGTATTTCATAAGACCCAGTCAGCAATTTAAAATTTCTGTTTTTCTTATATTTGGGGTCACAACCAGTGGTGCTCAGGGCAGGTCTCAGGGGTCCATATGTGGTGCTGGAGATCGAACCTGCAAGCAGTAAGGGCCTTAGTCCCTGAACTGTCTCTAGTCAGCAGTTTTCTTTTTAATTTTTATTTTGGATTTTTGGGTCACACATGGCAACGCTCTGCACTCAGGAATCATCCACTCCTGGCAGTGCTCGGGGGACCATCTGGGATACGGAGATAAGACAAGTGCCTTATCCACTGTACTATCACTCTGGTGCTCTAGCTAGCAATTTTCTTTTTTTTTTTTTTTTTTGGCTTTTGGGTCACACCTGGCGATGCCCAGGGGTTACTCCTGGCTCTGCACTCAGGAATTACTCCTGGTGGTAGCTCAGGGGACCATATGGGATGCTGGGAATTGAACCTGGGTCGGCTGCATGCAAGGCAAATGCCTTACCTGCTGTGCTATCACTCCAGCCCCTAGCCAGCAATTTTAGTAAAACTCTTCTACACATAGATTCTACGTATTTGGCATTATTTCCATTATTAAAAATGGGTTACTCAGAGACCCCATTTTTTCTCTCATTTTTGATTAGTAATGTAGTTTTCACTAGATAAAAAACAAGGAAAATACACTATTATATCAGGGACAATTTTATCACCTAAAAAAGCAAAAAGAGGAAGAAAAAATAAAACTAATAACCACATGAAGGTGTAGTCTTGTAGTATATGATAGCTTTCTGTATAGCACAAACCAAATCTACCCATGGTCACAACGTGTGTGTATCCTCACAGTTCTACCTAGCAAGACACCTCTCATTTAAGGCATCTCACTGATAAAAACCCCAGGGCATAAATTATCTTTGATTAGCACAGAGAAATTTCAACCCTAAATACAAAGTAAGCAGTATACAAAGTATACAAAGTCACAAAGAACATAAAAAGAAATTTTTACATTTCATTATTAATAAACCGATTACCTCATTCATGACAGTATCTGCTCCAATGATATAATCACTGTGAGGGCGAAGACCTGCCAGTGCTGCAGGAGAATTTGATTCCACTTCCTAGGGGACACAGAGACACACCCGAATATCAATGTATAAAAAAATAACCTTACAAATGTTATAGTTCACAATTCTTCATTATAGCGACCTAAACAAAAATCTGTCTTGGTAGACATGCCAGATTATACTAGTTTCTACTAAATCTATAGAATGCATTTCAAATCTCACAATCTTGAAAGTAAAATATTTAATGAACTGTGATATTTCTGTAGCTATCTGCTTTAACATACCTTCTAATGGTTGAATAAATAATAAAACAAATCTTAGGCACCTATATTTGCTTCTCTTTCTCGATGTTTTTTCTTAACCCATATATATATATATATATATTTCTCGATGTTTTTTCTTAACCCATATATATATATATTTTACTTTTTTCGCTCCAGGGCTGGAGCGATAGCACAGCGGGTAGGGCGTTCGCCTTACAAGCGGCCAACATGGCCGACCCAAGTTCGATTCCTCCGCCCCTCTCGGAGAGCCCGGCAAGCTACCGAGAGTATTCGATATGCCAGACACAGTAACAACAAAGTCTCCAATGGAGACGTTACCGGGCCCGCTCGAGCAAATCGACGATCAACGGGAGGGCCTTTACCTTTACTTTTTTATTAAAATTTAAAAAAATTTAGGCACTATGATTTACAATACTGTTCATAATAGTTGCAGGTATACAGTAGTCCAAAACCACATCCACCAGAGGATCAGTGCCCCTCCCTCCACTAATTCCTCAAAGTTGCCTTCTTCATCGCCCCCCACACCCCCTCACCCACCAACTGACTGACTCAGATTTGTAGCCTGACTCTCAGCGTCTGTTAACCATGGGCCAACCGTTATTTCCTCACGTTTCTTTATATTCCACACCAGAGTAATCATTCTGATTTGACCTCTCTCCTGACTCAGCACGATACCCACTAGTTCCACCTGCCTAGCACTGAATTACATGTTAATTCACATCTTAAAGGCAACACATTCTGATTTTCAGAAACTAAAAATCCCCTAACAGTACTACCCTTATAATCTCACCATATAACCTCAACACTGTTAAAACATTTTCCTACACTGCTGCTTAAACTGCAAGTAACAGCGGATACGTACCAACACGTGCCACACGTTCTCATTTGCCCCATCAAAGCTGCAGAAACGAATGCTCACTCCCAACAGGCCCTGGCCACCCCACATGTTACTTGGTGTGACTGAGGTTTCGCGGAGCTCCAGTGTTTTACTGCTGTAGATAAGCATTTTTACAGGCTTTTCAACGTTTGCTTTCAGTAAATCTTTAAGAGTGTCATTGTCTTTATTCTGTGAACACATGGATATTATTTTACTTAATAAAATTCAATTACTCCTAGGTTAATCTTCCTATGGCCCTACAGCATTTAACATGAGTTAATACATATATACAATTAACATGAATTAAACATTCACAAAGTTTCACTAACATTCAAATGATTCCCCCAAGTAAAAGATGTTATGAAATTCAGAACAACTCACATTAGGAATAAGTCCTAACTTTCTGTGAAAGATTATAGTATTTGCAACCCAACTTTTACTTAACTTCAGTGAAAAACAAAACACCCCATATGACTTTAATTTTAAAATCTAGAGCTTTGATGGAGTTGAATTTAGTTTTGGATTCTTCCCTTTAAAATATACTTTATTTATTAGGAATTGGAAGGAAATGATAATGGAAACATGTTAAATGTTTTATTATATGAGTACGGGACAGGTACTGATAAGTAATGAATAAAATTTGACTGGTAAAAAAAATTAGCCAACTAAAAGGCTACTACTGTAATTTTCTTTGCTGAAATTATTTCATTTCTTTCCAACAGTACTTTTTTTTACTGCAGGTAAGCTGAAGACAGCTTCTAAGAATTGACTTTAATTCTGTACTTTTGCAACACAGTTCAGCCCAATTCTACTAAAACTACTTATCTATCACGAAACTTAGCTCCAGTGAAACTGGTAAATTATGTGAAAATGAGTCTTAAGTAACTGATTTGCAAGAACTTGCAAAATCCTGACATTTTAAAAAAGTGTAACTTTTCACTTTAATGATTTCTTTTTGATTAGAGAAAATTTCAACATTTAAAGTAGAAGTCTTCAGAGATTCTATTCCCCTAAGACAATTGTTGGACTGTGAGTATTACAGTATATATGTAATATTTATATTATTATACATTTGAATGTTCATTATTTTTAAAGTTATTTTAAAAAACTGGCAGCATACTCTAAAGATTTGTTTGGTAATAATGAATCAACATCCGTCCGAGACAACCTGAATAAATTCCATTTGCAAATGATTACAAAACACTACAGACAAAACTATTAAAATGTTGAACTTACTAATCTTGAACCATTAATAGAAACAATAAAATCAAAGAATGGCTCCAGACCAGCTCTATGTCCTGGGGAATTTTCTTGTACCTATAAAAAAAAAAGAAAAAGAAGAGAAATGTCAAATATGAAAAAGGTAAAGCTAACAAAAAGAATTTGCAAGTTAAATGTTAATGCGTGGTACTTTTCAGTAAAAATGATTAATTTCTTGATAGAGAAATAGATAGTTTCTCTCTCCATTTCTCCTAATTTCCTTGCAGTTCCCTTAATTGTACCTATTTAATTTTCTTTGTGTATGACCTTTTCTCCCTCTATCATTCTATTGCATACCTCTTTTTACTTCTTTTAGTGACTGTCTGGGGACAAATTCCCAACATTCAGCATATGACATAGCAAATCATTACAAATGAGTGACAAATTAAAATTAATTTAACAAGCACTTATTCCATGCCTATTAGCAAGGCACCATTTAGTTACAAAGCGAATACTGGGATAGTCACTGATGTCAAGACATTGATTATCTACTGAGGAATCGTCAAAAAAGGGGGGAGGGGAAACAAAGGGCAAAGAACTCCCCCTACTCACTGGAATACAAGACCAAAGAGGTTAGACTATAATTAAAGCACAAAGTTGTACAATGAAGCTGAATTCTGACCAAAGAAACAGCAAAGGGGAACTCCTCTCTCTCTGTCTCTCTCTCCCCTCTCGCTCTCTTCCGCCTTCCCTCTCCCAAAACACCTGAATTGCCTTTTTGAAAGTCACCAGGGACAAGAAAGAATTAAAGGCTGCAGAGCATGCTCTGCTTGTGGAAGTTCTATGGATGCTCCAGATGCAAAGTTCACCACCAGCCGCTGAACACTGCCAAGTGTGGCCCAAACAAACAAATAAACAAGAGGACAGAAGGCTCAGCTCAACTTTTTTTGGTTCCCTTTGCTTTTCTTTTTGGGTCATACCCAGTGTTGCTCAGGGCTTACTCGTGGTTCTGGGTTCAGGGATCTCTCCTGTAGGGGCTAAAGAGACTATCTGGGATGTCGCAGAGTGAACCTGGGTTGGGAGTGTACAAGGCATGCACCCTCCCCTTTGTACTATTTGCTCTGGCCAGTTTTGAAGTAATATACATTCATCCCTATAGAAATCTGTAGTTATTTACACAGGAGTAGATTTTAATGCTTTCAAGATAGAATCCGGATTACTCCCAAAATGTTTCTCTAGTGCCAAAGTCACTCAGAATCATTAATTACTTTTTGAATTCAATGTTAACTTTTATTTATTTAGAAACAAACTGTACTGTCATTGCCTCTGAAGAGACAAAACTAGATTTTCTGTTTTTGTCACTATAAGGACTAGCTGTCACTATCAAACAATATTTAACTTATAGAGAACTGATCAAGCTTCATACAAGTTTCCCGCAAATCTGAAACAAAATATTTTCTGAGCATGAAACAGATTATAAAAAAGGACTTGGGGGGGGGGGGTCCAAGATGACAGTGGCACAGCAGCAAGTGCCAGAGCTGGCAGAGGGACAGCAGCTCCCAGCGCTCTGAACAGCTGATGGGGTCATAAAAATTCTGCATGAGTGAATGTGGGTGCTCTTTCGATACTGTCTACTGCTGTGCTGCCCGCAGTATATTGCAGAGGAAAACCTCCCTGAGTGCCAACTGTCTGGAGACGGAAGACGGGGGCATGTACCACCTGGTCAGGCTCTGCTGGACTGGTGGCTGCAGCACTGTCGAGGGACCCAGTTCCCGCTGGGGCTGCCGCTGCCAGCACCACTGGGGCCCAGAGGGCGCGGCACCACCTGTGGGTCAACCTGGGCCCATAGGGTGAGTACATCAGGTGCCCTTGGGCTTCCTGACACCCCACAATTGCCACGATGCCTTTGGTCAGACTCCAACTCAGGACCAAGTTTTCCAAGAAATTAAACAGTCAAAAGTAAGATAGAGTCATACCCACAAGCCACCTCTGGCACAGCCACACAAGCTCATTTATCAGTCTTGTTTCAGAGACTCATAAACAAATCTCAAAAGAGATAAAAAGCTGCAGTTAATCTCGGCCCCACGCAAGGCTAAACAACCACCCAGAAACACATCAGAGGGGGGTGGGTTAGCTCAGTGCCTATTCACACAGAGCCCAAAGTAGTGGTTTGCTCCCATAATCCAAAATCATCACCATGCCCCTGGCCAGACTCCACGCTTTGGGGACAAAACTCACCAAGCTATTAATGTGTTGAAAATTTGGGTATGCAGGCTTTGTGACTGAAATCTCCAGGCTTCCTTCAGTCAGGATGGGCTATCTCCCCTCACTTCCCTGTACTTCCAAAAAGTTCGGCAGTCATGTCTGTGTATTCAATAAGTGAGTGTGCTCTCTCTTGCCATGTGCCTTCGATGGTCTCACGCTGCTTTCCCACCCCAGACAGCCAATGGCAATGGGAGGACCAAGGAGAAAACAAAGTCCAGCCTGCTTGGTCATCAGCTGCAGTTTATTCAAATCTAGTCTCCCTCTGCCTCATTCCAGTCTAACCCACTCCTGTATTCCTCCTCCTTGGGCCCACTCTTACAGCCTTAGTTATAGAGCAAATCATGAAGGCTTGGGGGTAGCAATTACACATAGGTGTGGCAGCACAATCAACATAGGTAAAACCCTTCCCTTCCTTCCAGGGAAGCTCTTCTAAGATGAAGATCATCCTCCTGCTAGGAGATCCACTCAAGGGCAGAATTTCATCCAAGGGCATACTTCTCCTTTCCTTAGTCCATAAACAATCATCTTAGATTTACTTTTAAATAATATTTCTAGTTATTTTGTATGAACACAGTAAGATATATTAAGCTCTCCTGGGAACATCTTGCTATAAATCCCAAGACTACAGTCTTCAGGCCAGATTAATCTTCCTAACCCCAGCAAGGTTCTTGTCCGGTCACTTCTCTTTGGGTCATGACACAATTCGTCCACAACCATGCTCTTAATTTATAATAATAAGTTTTATGGCACTTAGTCTGTCCCATTTTGATGCCAGAGTAGCTTACAGCTTGCCCTGGCTCCATCCAGTCCCTTTGTCAGGACCCTGCTTTTGGGGTGCCAGAAACTAAGGGCAACTCAGGCTCAAGCCGAGTAAATATGACAGAAGCCCCGGAGTAAATATTATTTGGAGTCAATTAACTCCCAAGTTACAAAACTTGGGAGTTCAACTGCTTCCTGTATCTATACTGCTTCCTGTGTCTATACAAAATGACATTGCTCTAAAGTTAACTATGCAAAGGACATAAGGGAAAGAGTAAAAGCAGTATTTCACTTACAAATACAAAATCCAGAGTCCTTAGAAGGATCTGACCTTACAAGTCACAGGTCTGATTTGGGGATTAACAGATAGGGGAAGCAGGGCACAGGGGAGAAGTTAAACACAGGAGAATGGGAGTACCTCAAGAGCACTGTGTAACCCAATACACCTAAGCTCCCCGTGGCAAGGGACAAAGGACAAAACAATGTTATCCTGCAACATCCATACCCCAAAGCTGCCAGTTTCAAAAAGCTTACACTTTTTTTAAGCTTTACCTTAAAAAGTAAAGCTGACCAGCCTTACCTTCCCGATAAAAATACTGAATGCCCTGACCAAACACGATGACCTCTTAGTACTTGATTTGCAAACCATAATGCACAAAATGGTAGAAGAAAGGTGCCTGCCATAGAAGCAGTCAGGGGAGACAGGGGGTTGGTGGGAGGAAAACTGAGGCCACGGCTGGTGAAAAATGACACTGGTGGAGGAATAGGTGTTGGAACACTATATGACTCAAACTCAATCAGGAATAGCTTTGTAGTGGTCTATCCCACAGTGATTCAATATAAAAAATAAGAAAATAACAAAACCAAAACCAAAAAGGATATATTAAAATGTAATAAACACTAATAAAAATAATTAGTATACATTTCTTATACTTAATTTTCTTCTTACTGGCTCCCCTCTTTCTGTTCTGTTGCTGCTGTTGCAATGACATACAAGTTTGGTTGTAGAGCTTGCCAGGAAGGCCACACACTTCAGCTGTGGTTCTCAAGCACCTGGTTGTGCACCGGAGATTGTATGCTCTTGACTATACACACCAGTGGTGCCGGACTGTGTTTGACATGGGTGCTGAAATGAGCACCTATCTCAAGATCTCACACTTTCAATGTAAGGTATTTTAGCCACTGAATCATTCCCCACCTCCTCTATATTTGGTTTTCTTAAACAAGGAATATTTTGTCTTCAGTATTATCAAGCAAAAGGTATAAAACCCAAAATAGCAGAGATTTCTCCTCAAGTGGCAAATCTGAAAGAAAATGATGGCTACCTGGAGCTCTAATGAGAAAAGTAAGGTCAAGTCACAGCTAGGGGGTCACAATCTGGGAGAAGCCTGTTTCTTAGGTGCCTATCAATTAGGTGTGAAATACTCAGGTGTGGAACTAGTTCACCGATCAATTTCAGATTACTCCACTGAGACTGCCAAATGTTTGCTTTTCAGTTGAAAAGGGATAAAAGAACACTTCAGTACCAGCTGAGAAAGTTGATTCCACACACTGATTCTTATCATGCCGCTCTAAGTATAAAGTTTTCCCACTACTTGTTTGAAATGGAAAGTCTCCAAAGACATTAAAAGCCATTAATTTCCTCCATAATTCAAAAATAGATCCAATAATATGAATTCTAAAATAAAGTTCAATAGTTCTAATTTTATTTTTCATTTTCATTTGTAACAAACATTGATCTCCTCTCTGTTACTAATGGACCTTGAAATTAATTTCTTTCCTAAATTTATTTACATCATTAATACCAGGCACAATTCGGGTAACTAGGTATCTTACTTACTGCTAGGATGCCAGTAGAGGGAGCCCTAGTAAATACTCTATGATTCTAATATACTGAACGCAAATTTCCATTTTCAAACGTGGAAAATAAGGTCTGCAGCATAGACAATTAATACACACTGTCAGGTTGCTCTTACAATATTATCCTCTGACAATATTATCAACTGACAAATATCTCTTAGTATAAGTTTCTGAAATGCCTACTTAAGTCTCTGCTTTATGCTCTACGAGTTTTGATATTTTTGGTTTTGGGG